GTTCTCTTCTGGCCTTTGTCCCCTCATACCAAAATAAAAAGGCCACATGTATCTCTTCCGAGCCTTGTTTTTGCCATTTTATTTAGTTGTCTGTTTGGGACCAGCTGTTGACCCCAGGACTTGAGCATGGTACGGTCTTGGGTTGTTACCTTCTGAGCCAGGTTAGGAGGGCAGAAGGGAGATGCATGATGTTTTCCCAGTACACATCTGTGTGTAATTCGTCTTCAGGTGCTCATTTGTGGCTGGGTCTCTGATCAGTAGGCCATATATTGAATACTGCTGCATGGGTCCATGTGCCCTACTGGACCCAGTCTCCGCTGTCCCTCACCCACAGCCCATTGAGATCACAGATGATGTAAGGTGGGGCTCAAGCTCTCAGGATCCTTGACAGGGATTGCCCAGGGCTAGAGGGGCCTCTGATCACATTGTAGTCTCCAGGACTCCTAGAAGTGTTAGTTACCAGGCATGTATTAGTGCGTTCAATTCCCAGTACCACCAAAAATGAAGGGGTGGAAGAGGAAAAAGGAAAGAAAAAAGACAGTGTCAGTGATAGAGTGCTTGCCTGGCATGCCCAAGGATCTGGGTTCTATTACCAGAACCAGAAGAAAAGTAAGACAATGCCTCCTTCCCTCATCCGCATTTCTAGTCTCCAGACAGTCCAGTGGCCAGCAGTGGCCCTTATTTCCAGTGTGATGTCATGGGCATCTCTGACTTTCCAACAATGCATCTGTCTCTTTGAAAAGAAAAGATCATCAGCCTTCTGTAGCTGGCTTTTTTTCTGCCGATGTGCCTGGGCTCTCTCCCTGTCGAGAAGCAAGACTACCCTCCTTTCCTTTCCTTCTGTCCCGTGGTTGCCCACCCGATGTCATTGAGTAGTCTCCTATTGTACATTTGGGGTGTTCCCCAAACTGTAAAGGCTTTGGCTTCTCACCCACATGTGGGTACATGTGGTTCCCAGCACTCCCATAGGGTCCCTTTATAAGTTTGAGGCTCATGCCCCCTTACATCTTCCTTCTTGCCAGTCTGTCCCTGAGCCAGCCACATGTCCGTCCCAGCTTGCTCCTCTGTGCACACTGGCCACATTCCTACCTCAGGGCCTTCGTGCTTGCTGTTCCTATCATCTCACAAGCACATGTGGCGTCCTCTCTCACCTCCTTTGCTTTGGTGTTGCCTTCTTGTTAAGATCTTTCCCTCATGGCTCCTTGCTTGGCCCCTGCCCGCCTTCTTCCCCTTAGCATTTACACCTGGGGCATGCATTCGCCTAATTTCCTTTTTTATCTCTCTTTTATTTTGTTGATTTGCCTAAGTTTCTATTTCTCATCCACTACCAGATATCAGCCTGGCCTAACAATAGGTCTTACCTTCAAGTTCTGGGATGTAGTCAAGGGCAGTAATAGCCTGTGTCTTTTTGGGAGTCTCTTGGACTACCCTGCCCACCAACTCAAAGAGAGGTTTCTCCAAAGACACAAATTTTTGTCATTTTTGTGTACTGCTTATGTCTCTAGGACTTTTGGCAGTGCCTGGCACACAGTGGGTGCTTTGATAGATTTTGAGTGAATCCGGTCTCTAGGATTAGACCCAGCCTAAACCCAGCCTAGCCAGCTCCTGTCCCAGGGCCAAGGCTGCCCTCTTGGTACCCTCAATCCTGTATCTTTTTTCACATATCCATACCCCACCTCTGAGCCTGTGTCTGTAACCTCATTCTACCCTTTTTAAAAAGATGTATTTTAGGCTGGGTGTGGTGGCACACACCTTTAATCCCAGCACTCGGGAGGCAGAGGTAGGTGGATCTCTGTGAGTTCAAGGACAGCTGGGGCCACAGGGAGACCCTGTCTCAAAAGACCAAAAAAAAAGGATGTATTTTATTTACTTTTATGTATATGAGTGTATTGCCTGCATGTATGCAAGTGTACCCAATGCCTGCAGAGGTCAGAGGAGGGCATTGGAACCTCTAGAACTGGAGTTATGAATGGCTGCTAGCCACATGTGGGTGTTGGGAACTGAGCAGGGCAAGGGCAGCCAGTGCTCTTTAACCACTGCGCCATCTCCCAGCCCCTGTGCAGCATTTCTGAACCTCATTTTCCTCACATGAAAAGTGTTAGAGTTGAGGGGATACAGTAAGTTCTTAGGAAGTAGCCTCTGATATGATGTTTATTTCACCCTTGCTGTGACATCCACACCCACCCCACCCCCCCACCCCCCGCCCCTGTGGGCCAGGGCGAGGCTGCCTGCTTCTTCCCCTGGGAGTGGTGACATGTAATACTGATTGTTCAGAGCCCTGTGGAAACAGGAGGGAGGCCCAGTACTGATCTGGTGAGCCCTGACCTGCTCACCTTCCTGCAGAAGGATGGAGCATGCCTGTCACCTGAGCCTGGGAGGGCTCCGCGTGGCTTTCTCTGGCCTGGCCTTCTCTGGCCTGGCCTGGCGGGGCTGACAGGAACCACAAATGGGCCTCAAGCTTCCTGGCTGCCGATCCCTGGGCAGTCTCTCAAAGGAGGGGCAGGCACAGTTTGCTATCAGCCTTTGTTCCCAGACTCTAATCCTAATTCCTCTGGGTGTTTCAACATGTCCCGCTTTCTCAAGTCTCCGGTGGCTGCTCCCACTCCTGGGTCGGGTGGGGATGGGGCCTAGAGGTACACAAGGGAACAGTTCTGAGCCCTGCCCCCTTTCGAGGTTAGGCCTTTGTTGCTCAGGAGCAACTATTCTCTCTGCCTTTCTGCTCCCTGCTAGTGTCTCCCTTCAGCCACTGCCTAAGCTACATCCATAGGAGCAAGGCAGCAGGAGGCAGATAATTTGTACACCTGTCCCCTCGCCCCCACAACCCCTCACTGATGCTCTCCTTTCTCTCCACTGGCTGGCCCGTTTCTCTTTGCCATGTTCTTACCTCAGGGCCTTTGCAATGGCCAGTCACCCTCACACCCTCACTTCAGTCTAAGCCTTGCTCAGGTGTCACTGCTGTTACACCACCTGCCTGAAGTCACAGCTTCTCCATATTTATACTTATCTGACCCACTGCATTTGTTTCTCATTCTTATTGACATAGAACTCACTTACCACATAACTCATCAGCTTGAAGTGTGTGATTCAATGTTTGTTTCTTGTTTTTTGGTGCTTGATATAGAACGTAGGGCCTTGCACATGCTAGGCAAGTGTGCCCCCTCCCTCCGAGCCCCAGCCCACAAACCAATGGTTTTCACATTCACAAAGTTCTGCTCCCATCACTGCAGTCATCTGCAGACCATTTCATCACCCCACAGAGAAACCCCACGCTTACTAGCTGTCACTCTCCATTTCCCACCTCCTGTCCCCTGGCAACCGCCAGTCGGCTTCCGTCTCTGGCTTTGCCTATTCTGGGCATTTCATACAGATGAAATCTACACTGGGCTGCTTTCCTGCCTGCTTCTTCCGCTTAGCAGGAGTGTGTTCAAGGTTAGTAACATTGTGTATAAGTGCCCCTTCTCATTAAATGACCCCTCTCTTTTTGTTGCATGATGAAACTCATAAGCAGACCACATACATTTTATCCACTCACCAGTGGTGGGCATCTCGGTTGCTTTTGATTTTTGGCTGTTGTGAGCAGTGCTGCTCTGCACATTTATGTACGACTTTTGGTGTGACGGCGTAGGTTCTGCTTCTGTTGGGTGTGAACCTGGAAGTAAACTGCTAGGTCGTGCGATACCCTATGGGAAACTTCTTGAAGAACAATCCATTTGCAGACAGGCATGGGTGAGCATCTGGGGTACATAGCAGGGTACTGCTGGCCCTTACAAGCCTGTGGACTTGAGCTGCCAGGTTTCCTGGACTTGATGCCCCTGAACAGAGGTGACAGCCTAGGGCTCTTGCTCTGAAGCTGGATAGCCTGAGTTCCAGCCTGCTTTGTCAATCACTGAGGTTGTGATCTTGGTGGAGCCCCACTGTTATTAGTAAAAGAAGGTGGTGTAGACCCATCACCCAGGCTGCCGTGAGAAGCAGGAGATACCTTTCAGTGGCCCTTTCTGACCCTCACCCTCCACCCCCAAGCTGGCAGGTAACCTGTGCTTCTCAGTTCACCCAGGGCATAGGAAGGTCACTTCTCAGCTGTCCACTTGGCTGTCCATCCAGTTAGGTGGGATGCATTGAGGAGAGATACCATCTCACACTGCCTCACCCTTCCGTGGCCATCCCTTCCTGAGCACTGGTTCTGCCGGGGCTTGGGGTGGGGGCCACAGTGGTGCCACATTGCTCAGTTCACTGGGCTGTGTGCTATTGCTGCCTCAGATCTGCCAGGCTCCCCATAGCAGCTGGGCGAGGCTTAGATGAGCCACTCTTAGCGCTCCCATGGCACAACACCCTCCTCATTTAGAGGTGCTGGGTTGTGGTCACTTTCCAGAACGCTGGAGCCCCACTTGGTGTTCCTGTGGTGTTATCTCAGTGCCTCCAGTTTTTCTGCAGTGTCTGGAAGGCTTTCTCCAGCACTGGGAGCAGGCTGTGGTGATCACTGACTTTACAGTTATTTGAATGCTGCAGCTGGGAAGCAGTATATCACGCTGTTAAGGTTATTGCTGCTGTTACCAGAGTCTGGCAGAACCTGGCTACAGGCCCAATAGACTGGTTAGAGACCTGGGGAGCTGACCTATTCTTGACTTGTTATCTGTTCAGTGGGTTGATAAGTCCATCCTAGGAAGACTGAAGTGAGAGTCACATGAGGTAGCCAGGAGGAGCCTGGTGGGAGCAGATAGTATAGAAGCCAGCCAAGGTCGAGGCACTGGGAGTGGAGGCTCAGTGGATCTCTGGGCCCTGGGAAGAACAGCTGTCCCAGCTTATCATTACCGGTGACTGCTTGTGTTTCTTTACTTTTCATTGCATGCTCCTTGTGTTTACAGTCACACTAGCATACTCTTGTGAAAACACTGGGCAGCAGGGCCCTTGCCCATTCCCTGATAGGCCTGGGGTGGGAGTTGGGGCTCCACTTTGACCCTGTGATCACCTCTGTCCCACACTCACCTGTCCTGTCTCCACAGGGAGGAGGTACAGGAGAATTGCGTGCGGTGGCGGAAGAAGTTCACCTTTGTGTGTAAGATGAGCGCTAACCCTGCCACAGGTCTGCTGGACCCCTGCGTCTTCCGAGTATCTGTGCGCAAGGTGAGGCTGGCTCCTATGGCTGGGCTGGAGGCTGTTAGGGTGAGTGTGGGGCTGTCCTCCCCCTTTCCCTTGTTATAGGCCATCTCCTTCCGGGGAGACTTCCTGTTCTGTCTCTCTGGGGAGATCTAGAGGCTTGGGATTCATGTCATCAGGCTTTGTGTGTCTCCCTCTCTCTGCAGGAGCTGAAAGGTGGGAAGGCTTATTCCAAGGTAAGAGGGGCCATGTGAAGGCTGCTGGGATGGGACAGGGTGGCCAGAGACCAGTGTGCATTTTCCAGAATTTCTACTCCCCTCTTTGCTCCAAGCAGAAGATAGCCAAGCCCAAAGGGAAGTGTATTTTTTAGGGAGGGTCTTTTTTTTTTTATCTTTTGAGACAAGGTCTCTGTTGCCTCAGCTGGCCTAGAACCCGCTATGTAAACCAGGCTGGCCTTGAACTCAAAGAGATCTACCTGCCTCTGCCTCCCAAGTGCTGGGATTAAAGGCGTGCACCACCACATCTGGCTGGAGGATCTTTGTGTGTATGAGTATTTGCCTGTATGTCCGTAAGTGTACCACCTACTTGCAGTGCCCATGGCAGAGGGCATTGGATCCACTAAACTGGAGTTAAGGATGGTTGTGAGCTGTCATATGGATGCTGGGAACTGAACTCATGTCCTCTGGAAGAGCAGCGAGTGCTGTTAACCCTGGAGCCAACTCTCCTGCCCCTTTTGGGGAGTATCTTTATTGGTAGTCTTTGTATTTGCCATAAACGCAGTTCTTGCTTGTAGTAGTACAAGTGGGATAGAAGGTCAGAGTGAAAGACCTTGCTTCTGCCTTCCTTCTTCCCCTCCCCCCACCTCACTAGTCAGGAATTAGAGGGTGGTGAAGAACTTTACAACAGTTGGGCCTAACACTTTGGAGGCAGAGGCAGATCTCTGTGAGATCGAGGCAACCTGGCCTACATAGCTCATTCTAGGCCAGCAGGGGCTCCTGCCTCAAAAAAAAAAAAAAAAGGCTTTCCAATAATTTGTGTGCATGGGGTGGATTGAATTGAACCCAAGGCCTCATGCATACTAGGCAGGTGCTCTGCCACTGACCTACATACCTTCAACCCCTAACCTTTCAAAACAAGAAGTATATGTATAGAACAGTGAATTTAGCATGCATGTGATTTAGAGAAATGTAAGCAAGCACCCATGTGTACACGTGTTTGTGAGCAGTGATTAAATGGACCTGCACATCCTACAGCTCCAGCTTTGCACTTACACCCAGTACATCATGAGTATCTTTTCAGGTCACCTTAGCTGTCTGTGTCCTTTCTAATGGCAGTAATGTCGCATTGTGTGGCTGGTGACATTGACTCCGCCAGTCCCTACTGTTGGCTGTGTCGTTTCCAGGGTTTCATTAGTGCTTCTCCCCCAACCCCTGGCTTCAGCCCTAAAGTATTTTCTATGGGGAAAGAGCAGAAGACTGCCTAGCTTTGGGGTGAGTCTGTGCTGCCCTCAGCCTTTCTTCCTGGGGAGAACAGGGAACTCTTGGCTAGCCCTGCTCAGGATGGGTGGTGAGTTCACCTACCTCTCACCCTGTGGGGAAAGCCTGAGGGAAGTGCAGTGTGGGCTCAGGCATCCCTGATGCCCACAACTCCAGAACCCCAGAGCTCCACAGGCCCAGCCCCATGCTGTCAGCATTCTGTAGGAACACTTAGCCCATTTCAGATGCTTCTAGATCCTTCCTTGCTCTTCCATAGTAGAACTCACTGTGGGCTTTTACATTCGTTATTTAGATGAGGAAACTATGACCCCGGAGGTACTGGAATTTGCTAACCCAGCCTAGTTTCAATCCTGTCATTCTGGCCAAGCTGTGTGACCCTGGTCAGCTCATTTCCCTTCGCTGAACTTTTAATGACTTCATCTGTAAAACATCGGGTCCCTCTGAGTCATTGACAGAACATGGGTCCATCTGAACCCAGTTTTCTGATCCTGGAGCCTATGCCTATAGACACTGAAGTAGAGGTGTTTTTCCTGGTAGTCCCCAAGCCTGACTGGTACTCCCTCACTTCAGCCTCAGTTTCTCTGATTAGGCAGACATGGATTCTGTCTTACTCAACCCTGTGCTTCTGCCACCCTCCGTCACACCCCTCACCTGGACACATCATACAAGGAGCGCCCCAGTCCTTGGGTGTCCATACACTCGACTCTGCCCACCAGTCCCTCACTTCCCTCCTCCAGGGATTTCATGGAGATCCTGTCCACTCTGTAGTATTCCTTCAAGTTCCCACGGGTCTTCCCTCCTCCTCTCCCACTGTCCTGTCGGCTCCCGACAGCAGGCCCTTGTTTCCCAGGGAACAATGTGTCTGTGTCACAGACAACAATGTCCTTTCATCTCAGGCGCACTGGTCCCAGTGCACTCTGGGACTCGGCACAAAGGATGCTTTGTACCACTCAGGGATGTGAGCTCCTTGCTTTGCTACGTTGGTGCTGTTCACCCAGGACCCTGTCCTTGGATCCTGGTTATGCAACAGTCAGTTGTGGATGTGGGGCGGACCCAGGGCTTTTGCCTGCCTCCCTCCCCCACCTCCACCAAGTTAACCCTTTGTACCTGCTTGCCTGGCACCCATTCTCTGAGGCCTCCCACCTCTTTCTTTTTCTCTCTTAGCTGGGCTTTGCTGACTTGAACCTGGCTGAGTTTGCTGGCTCAGGCTCCACCGTGCGCTGCTGCCTGTTGGAGGGATATGACACAAAGAACACCCGCCAAGACAACTCCATCCTCAAGGTACTAGGGTCCCTGCTGCATCTTCACCTCACCAAGGGGTGGGGGCAAGCCTATATCCTCACCAGAATTCTCCAGAGGGCTGTTGAAGATACAGGTTCTCAGTGAGAAATGCTGGGAAGGTATGGGCCCTGGATCATAGTCTCAGTTGCCCATCTGTGGTTGGATGTGAGCCCCTACCTGTTCTAAGGGTTTGAAGAACACCTTTAACAAGATGAGCCTTGTGACCAGTGCCTGTGCTCTCTGACCCAACTACAGCCCGTGGGTGTGGTGTCTCTCACTAGCTCCAAGTTTGAATAGGAAGGAGTCATAACACAGAAGTTCTATCATTTGCTCTAGGGCATAAGCAAAGCTGGCACCTGACACCACAAGTCTTGGAGCTGCACAGCCCAGCTCCTAACATTGCCCCTGATCTGAGGCTGCCTGGCTCCAGTAGAACTAATGTTCTACAGCGTGTGTGCCTGAGGGTCTGCTCTGAGGGTCCATGAGCAGACCTATCCCGCTGGCCACACAGGTTTTCAGTAGCCCAGGTAGCTCCCTTCCCTCAATCTGCTGTCAGTATACTCCTCTTCCTCCCTCTCCACCACACCCTTCTACAGCCTGGCTGAGAAAACAGGTTTGTCCCACTGCCACCTCCAAGAGATGACCCAAATGTGCTTGGCACAAAGCTGGGCTTTGAGGTAGTGGTCAGGGCCTAGGAGGTACATAAATAAGTCTACCCGGTAGGTGTTATGGCGTACTATGTAATCCCATTATTTGAAGCTGAGGCACTAGGATTGTAAGTTTGAGCCAGCCTGGGCTACATAGCAAGACCCTGTCTGTCATCCAAAAAAAAAATTTAAGAAAGAGAAGAGCCAGGCTGATTGGTAGGAAGTCATGTGTTCTCACCAGGGGGCTTGTGGACTCTGAGCCAGGCCAGTCAAGGGAACCTGGGCCTAGGTGGCCTCAGGTTCAAGGCTAACTCCCCCTACATCCTGTCTTCAGGGCCTTGGGCAGTCACCTCTCCTCTCTGAGCATTGGTTCCTTCACCTACAACCTGGGACTGTCACCTACCTTGTAGGCTCTTGTCATGGGCAAGTGAAATGAGCCATAAAAAAGCCTGAGCCTAGTGGCTGTGGTAACACAGTGACACTAAATCACTGGTAGTCCTGGGATCATTCTGTTACTACCTGCCTGTTATTTCATTTTAACCGAAATTTGGGGACACAGATTTTTACCATATTTGGACCATTGGCAGAGTCTTTGGCAAGTGGGTACTATATTCAAAACTGGCTGTGTTGTGTTACTTCATCAAGCTTTGACCAGCCCTTGCTTGCCATGTGGCTGTCCCCCACTCCCTGTGGTGCTCCCTGAGCCCTCTCCCCTGACATCACACCGATACAAGACAAGTATGAGTGAATGTGGTCCCCTGGACCTCTCAGTCCAGTCACAGTTTATAATCACAGAAGTTGACTTGCTGTACCAGGTGTCAGTGGAGTGAGCCTCATCTTGTCCCATATTCCACCAGGCTGTCCATTCTACCCTCCGCACAGAACACAGGGCTAATTGTGGATAAATGGCTGCACCAGAGCCTCCAGCAGGAAGGGACAGAGTCCAGACTGGAGTCCCAGCCCTTCTGAGGCCTGAGCCTGGAGGCTGCTGGAAACTGGTCTGTGCTGGGTGCACATAGCCCAGGTTGATCTCTCCCTTCTACCCCTAGGTCACCATTGGCATGTTTCTGCTCTCTGGAGACCCCTGCTTTAAGACGTGAGTGCTATTGCAGCCCTATATGGGATGGGGGCCATAGGATGGATTCTTCCTTCCCCAGGCTCTGGAGTATCTCTGTCTCCATCTGATCCTGAGGATCGAGGACCCCAATCACACCTCTTTGTTTTCTCAAGGCCACCATCCACTGCCAAGTCCATCTCCATCCCAGGCCAGGACTCCTCCCTGCAGCTGACATGTAAAGGTGGTGGGACCAGCAGCGGTGGCAGCAGTGGTACCAATTCTCTGACTGGGTCCCGGCCCCCCAAGGCCCGGCCCACCATCCTGGGCTCAGGTACCATCCCCATCTGCCTGCTCCTCCCCTGCCAGTGACCTTAGCTTCTTCCCTGCATATCATGTCCCACGAAGAGGCTTATCAGAAGGGTGGAAGAGAGTGCATGAATCTACTGGTGTTACCCTTGCTCACGTGGTCTGAGTGCCACAGTGCTGGGTTTGGGATCCTGGCAGTGCCTGGGACTGAAACTGGCACAGTTTCGTGTCCTTGTGGCCTTCTGACAGGACCGTCAGGAACCATCAATAAGTCACAGGCTCATCTGCCTCTCCTAGCACGTGGAGAACTGGGGAAGAAGGGGACAGGCTTAGAAAATGGGATGAGGAAGGCTTCTCTGAGGAGATGGCCCCTGAATGGCAGTCTGGGGTCGGGGACTAGTTGTACCTAGCAGAGGGACATCCTGGGAGCTCTTGGCCTCTCATTGCTGGGTGACCGACAGGCCAGCATGCCTTTCCTTTCTAAGTGGCAACGTCCTGAGTCCTGAAGATGAGATTGGTGACAGTAACTACATCAGCATTTATTTGAGGGATTAGCTAAGCTAACTATCCTGGCACCTGGTGAGCACTCAGTATATCACATGTCTTTTATTATGTTGTCATGTCATGGAAAATGTGAAGGAGCTTGAGGAACTTGACTCCCTGGAGGCTGTTGTAGAGTTGAGGTGCTACTGCAGGAGGAAACTCTAGCCTGCTGCTTGGTGTTTGCCAGACCCCAGCGTGGTCTTGTTGGCTATGTGGGGCCATACAGGGGTCTCTAGAGGTATGAGCTTCAGCCCCCCCCATACCCTCTTGGAGGTGCACTCAAAGCTGGGAGGCAGACAGTTCCCAGACTGATCATTGAGTAGGTATCACCTGTGGCCCCAGTGTGTGCCACAGGAGGAATTAAAGGGGTACAGACCTCAAGGGGTGGTTCAGCCTCTGCAGACCTAGCAGCTGTGATAGACCCTCAGTGACCAGGGCTTGGCTTTCACCTATGCCCAGCCTTCCTGCAGTCTCAGCCAGGAGAGACCCAGAGCAGAAGGTTGCTGCTCCTGACTGCCTTGGCCTGAGGCTGCCTACTGGATAGAGGCTTCCCAGGACTATTGCTTGTTCTTTTTAGCTTGGGGTGAGGCAGAGGAAAGGGCTGTCCAGGGACTGGGCCACCTCAGCACAGCTGTTGCCCTGGTATAACCTGGAATAGACAACTCTCCTTCTCCCAGGAAGTGTGCGATTTGAAAGCTGGTTCCCCTGCCACATACAGAGTATGTTGAAGACTTGAAAATCTACCTGGGTGTGGTGCATGCCTGCAACCCCAGTACCTGGGAGATAGAGGCAGGAAGATCTGAAGTCCAGCTACATAGCAAGTTCAAAGCCAGCCTGGGCTACATGGGACCCTGTCTTAAAAAAAAAAAAAAAAAAAAAGCCAGGCATGGTGGTTAATCCTAGCTCTTGGAAGTCAGAGAGGAAAGCTGATATCTGTGAATTTGAGGACAATCTGGTTTACAGCGAGTTCCAGGGCCACGTAGTGAAACCCTTTCTTGAAAGGGAGGGAAGGAGGGAGGGAGGGGAGAGGGAGGGGATGGGAAAGAGAAGGAAAGAAAAGGGCTTTGTCGGGCACACCTGAGTCCAGCCTGTGGCCTGTGTGCATGGGCTCATCCCTGGAGTGGAGAAGGGATGGATGAGTACAGTGCTTCCTTCCTGTGTTTGTGGGGAGGGTTGGGAGATAAGCATTCATAGAGGCCTGCCTAGGTCCCACTTGGTTCTTCTGTGTTGACAGCTGGGGAGTACCAGGAAAGTTGGTTTTGAAGTGACCTATGATGGGGCTGTTGACCTGTCTTTTGGGTCCTGGTCTGTTCCTCTCCACCTTGCTTCCCCTCTCCCTGTTCACTTCATGAACCCAAGCTAATTCCAGTTTCAAGGCCTTGTGTATACTGTTCACTCTGGAAGGCCCTGTCCCCGCTACCTTCTCTGGCTCCCTTCCCTAGGGTCCTAAAGGTCTCAGCATTAGACCATCTCCTGGGAGAAGCCTTCCCTGGTCCATAGAATGGGCCAGGTCCCTGTGTGTGCTATCCCCGCTCCACATCATTCCCTGACTGTGTGTAACTGGCTTGGCATTTGTCTAGCTTTCCTTCTACTTCATGGCCTGTGAGAGGCCTGCTATTTAAGGTCCTGACAACTATGTATGAGTAACCTGGGTTCAGCAAGGGACCTGTGGCTTGGGTCAGGTTGCTGGTCCTCTAGTCCTCTGTCTTCAGTCTGTGAAATAGAGACAGAGTGACCTATGTGAGGCTGTGAGAGGAGGCTTGCTGGTGGGGTGGCACAACAGTATAACCCTGCTCCCCTCCCCAGGGCTGCCAGAGGAGCCAGACCAGAGCCTGTCCAGTCCTGAGGAGGTGTTCCACTCTGGCCACTCCCGCAACTCCAGCTATGCCAGTCAGCAGTCCAAGCTCTCTGGTGAGTGGTTTGGCCCTCCCTGCACCTGGGACCTTCCATAGTCCTGGGGCCCCTGTAATCACCTCCTCAATACTGCCTCCTCCTCAGGCTATAGCACAGAGCACTCACGCTCCTCCAGCCTGTCTGACTTGACACACCGCCGCAACACGTCCACTAGCAGCAGCGCCTCAGGTGGCCTCAGCATGGCAGTGGAGGGCCCTGAGGGCATGGAGCGGGAACACCGGCCCCCTGAGAAGCCTCCCCGGCCCCCACGGCCCCTGCATCTGTCAGACCGCTCATTTCGGTGAGTCCTACGGTAGGGCTCTGTCGTAAACAGTATCTTCCGAGTGACTCCCTAAACGTATGCCTGTGACCACAGCAGGGACAGTAGGTTCCCCATCTCAGTGTTGAGTGGTGATGATTTAACCAACTGCTACTCATAAAAGCATAGCCTGGGCTTGGCATGTATCCCAGCTTAGATGATGTTGCTATTTGTACGTTTTGTGTATTAGTCTGTGGGCCCATCAGACCTGGGGTTGAGCCTTGGATCTACCACATGTATGCTGTGTGGCTTCAAACAGGTTAACTTCTTGGTGCCCTGGGGTTCTCTATCAAACCAGGTCTTAACAGCACTTGCCTATGATGGCAGTTGTGAGGGCCAAATGAAATGCAGGATGGGGTGTGCATAGAACTTTCTAGTGCTGGAGGTGCTGGGGTTATTTTCCTTGCTGTGCCTGCCACTGCCCTGTCATAGTTCTGCCCCTCTCCTCCAAGGCGAAAGAAGGACTCGGTGGAGAGCCATCCAACCTGGGTGGATGACACTCGGATTGATGCAGATGACATTGTGGAGAAGATCGTGCAGAGCCAGGACTTCACCGATGGCAGCAACACTGAGGGTGAGCTGCTGGCCCCAATCCAGCTCGGGAGGTGATGCTACTCTTTCCAGGGGCTGTCCCTGCCCCTGCTCAGCCTCGGTCCTCCCTTGTGTCTCCGCAGACAGCAACCTTCGACTGTTCGTGAGCCGAGATGGCTCCACCACATTGAGTGGCATTCAGCTGGCCAACAGGTAGGGTCAGAGGTCACTGTGGTGTGGTAAGGCAGTCATCGGCCCCTGAGCCCTCTTCTTGTCACCATTGACCTTGGGCCCTCCTGTCCTTCAGAGCCTGTGCAATGCCTGCTCACAGACTTTCATGAAGAGTGGGCTCCAGTGTTTCTGGTTTCCAGGCCTTTTGACTCACTGAGTGAGCCAGTGAGTGAAAGCTGAGGGCGTTCAGCATACAGGGGTGTATGACTTTTCTTAGTGAAACAAGCGGGAACTTCTGGGTCCAGAGCCCCAAGATACCAGGCCTGGCAGCCCTGGTCCAGAGGTCTGCTGACTCATGCTGCTCTGCTGGCCCCTGCTGGCTGAGGTTATAATTGCAGCCACCCTCTCCCTGCAGGCCTTTGGGTCTGGCCTGGGTGGGAGAACAAGAACCATAGGGGCATCCTTGGATGATGGTAAAAATGCCCTAGCCCAGTGACAAAGTGAGGATGCTGATATTTGGAGGGTTGGAGGAGAGTAACCCTGTCAGCAGCAAGGCCTCAGCAGGAAAAGAGCAGGTCATGCCCTTGGGGTTTCTCCTGCCTACTTTTTGAAAAAGATGTAAATGTATGAATGGTTTTGCCTGTGTATACATCACACACATTCCTGGTGCCTGTGGAGGTCAGAAGAGGGTCAGATCCCTGGAACTGGAATTACAGATGGTTATCAGTTGCCATGTGGGTGCTAGGAAGTGAATCCAAGTCCTGCAAGAGCAGCCAGTGCTCTTAACCACTGGCACATTTTCCAAGCCCCTCTCTTGCCCTCTTAACAAACCTCACAGTTCTTCCAGACCTAGCTTCTTTATCTGTCAAAGAGCACAGGCCACAGTCTCTCCTTGCCAGGGTTACTATGAGGGGAGGAGTGACTCAGCCAACTGTGTAAATTGATGGTGTTTCTGTCATCCTGGGCAGAAATTACAGCAAGCAACTTAACATCTCTGAGCCTCCATTTAGCCACTCTGTAAAACAAGACTGGTAAACAGTGATTGCATATGGAGCACCCCCAAAGGCCTGGCCCAGGGAAGCACTGGAGCATCAAAGGGAACAAACTCGGCGGGAGTGGTGGCGCACACCTGTAGTCCCAGCACTTGGGAAGCAGAGGCGGGCAGATCTCTGTGAGTTCGAGGTCGGCCTGGTCTATATAGTGAGTTCCAGGCTAGCTCGGACTACGGGGAGACCTGTTTCAAAAAGACCAAAAAAGGGGAGGGGGGCTGGAGAGATGGCTCAGCGATTAAGAACACTGGCTGTTCTTGTAGAAGACCCGGGTTCAAATCCCAGCACCCACATGGCAGCTAACAACTGTCCGTAACTCCAGTCCCAGGGGATCCAACAGCCTCTTCTGACCTCCGTGGGCATTGCACGACACGGGTGCACTTACCTACATGCAGGCAATACACGCATACACATAAAAATAATAAATATTTTTTTTTAAGGGGGTGAAAAAACTTGACTGTCTTCCCCTGCAGAGTCTCCTCTGGGGTCTATGAGCCAGTCGTGATTGAAAGCCACTGAGGGAGCAGTTGTCCAGCTGGAGAAGGGCCTGCCATCTGGAGTACCCAGGCCCGCACCATTCCAGGAGGAGCAGGAACCTGCCCTTCGGATCCGCACCGTATTGCATCTGTGCCTCCTCCTACTCTAGCCTGCACCAACCCTCCACAGCATCATTCCATTGCCCTCCTCTCCACCCCAGGACCATGGGGCCTGGACACCACTGTGAATATTCTCCTCTGAACCACTAGAAGGCAGGGGATAAGACAGAGCTGGCCAGGACTGGCCCCGGCAGAGGACATGCAGCTGCTCTTCCATGTTGGGGTGCTTGTGCTTGAGCCTCCCACCTCCCATAATCCCTTTACCTTCAGGAGCACCAGCTCCAGCCAGGCTGACAAGGCCTTGCTCCATTGCCCCTTGCCCTTAAGGGGCTGGACCACCCCCAGAATCCTGCCACATGTGACTTTCTGCTTAGTGCTCAGCTGTCCCTAACCTATCTCCTAGGGGGACCCGCTGGCGGCCTTCTCAGGAGCCAAGACCTCAGACCCAACACTCTGGATTGAGACCCCCAACCTCCCTCATGGAATGTTCTCCTGCTGCCCTGCAGCCTGCACTTTGCACATGCTCGTCCCCAGCAGAACCACTGGCCCTTGCCCTCCTCCCTCCACACTTTCTCCAGGACTCCTGGGTGCTGTCTGCTGTGCAGCCAGGCCTAGGGTCCAGTAGCCCGGCTGGAACGTGGCATTGCCCTTTCCCTACAGTAAGCCCAAGCTTAGATCTAAGACTGGAGCCTAGAAAGATCTAGCATCATGGTGCCATCTGCCCAGGACTGGCTCCTGAGCAGCTGGCCTTCCTGCAGGAAGGATGGGGCCCAGCTGTGCTGGGCAAGTAAAGCCCCTTCCTCTGCCCTCAGGTCAGCAGATCTGGGCTAGGGCCCAGGCTGGAGAGTCAAGTCAGCCAGGTGGGCTGTGACTAGACTGGCCACAGCTGGCTTACCACCGGACAAGCCTCAGTCCTCCCCTGGAGGCATCCCCTACTTCTGGGCAAGGGACATGCTTTCCCTGGGGAACAGCCTGGCCCTGTGCCCTGCTCAGCCCTTCCCCTCAACATCTCTGCTCTGAGTGCTCCCACCTCCAGCACTTTTCTCCATCCTGTAACTTGCTTGAAGGAGGGTTCTGGCTGCCAGCCTGGCCCTGGACAAACTCCCACCCTTTAAGTTCCACTCATTTTGTGCCAACCCAGCAGGCTGGTGTTGCCTTAGCCCTGTAGGCCTTTTCTTTTTTTCTCTTTCTAAGTTCACAGTTCTGTATTTCCTCCTCCCCCAGTGAGGGGAGGTACCTCTGTTCTCCACCCCACCTACTGGCTGGGTCCCAACAGGGCTAGGGGTAGGGAATACAGGGCACTAATTCTCTCTGGGTGGGGGAAGGCTGTCCTCCCCAGGTTGGGAGTTTCCTCACCCAGCCTCATCTGCCCTAGCTGGCAAGAGTTGTGGGTCTCTGTCTCTGACCGCTGGTATTGGGACCAGACCATTGCTAGGGGTTTTGTTGTTGCCGTTGTTTAATCCCCAGTGACTCTTAGGAATGAGTGTTAGAGGTGCTGCCAAGGCAAGGCAGAGTGTGGGCTCTGGCTGGAGAAGGTTCTAACTGAAGGTTCTGCCCAGCTCCCTTCCTGCCCAGCAGGTACCTGGCACTTTAAAGGAAGCTGACTGCCCAGTCTCCAGATTAGGTGACCTCTACATAGAGGGAGCACCGCTCTTCGGTGTCTGACCTCAGCCTGTCAGGGCATTGTTCCAGTCTGAGTCAAAGTTCTGGGGCTCTAAGCACAAAGCAGCTGGCTCTGGAAGGAAGACCCTCCAAACCAGGAGCCCTTGTTCCACCCACCCAAGCCAAGGTCTGAGCTAAAGCCAATGACCCTGGAAGGAGACAGCCTGCTATGTCCTCCTATGCCAGGCACTGGGCCAGGGTAGCTGGGATAAGAACTTGGCCACAACCAAATGAACACTGGCGGGAGCCAGAGGCCAAGAACCTTTCCCCAGTCAGAGAATCCCCTTGAACTCAGTGATTCCTGCCAGGTGCACATAGCACCTGGGCTTCAAATTCTGTATGCAGAGAGAATATATTAGAGATATTTTTGGAAAGGAATTGGTCTATGCAATACTAGTTTGGAATCTTCTTAAAAGACCGTTTAATGTTTCTACTAGGAGATTTAAAGAAAATAAAGATCTACAATATTTTTAGGGTTCTTTTCTGCACCCCACAACTGACCACGCTGCATGATTTTGCAGGATGGAGACCACCCTTGTCTCCCTCCCTGTGGGGAGGTGGCTGGGGAGGGGTGTTGTGCTTTTGTTTAACCCCCTCCTTTCTAACTGTTGTCACCACTGCTCCCCATTCTGTGGGCTGTTTGTATCTCTGTCCCAGCTTACCGCAGAAAATGTCATTGGGAAAATCAGCCTAGTGTCAGTGTTCGGTTTGGAGGAAAAATTAAATGTTGACATTTTGTTTACTCTTGTTTACCTCATTACCATGTTGACTTTGGGATCAAAAACAGCAGAAATTAGCATGTTTGTTAGGTGGCATGCCAGGGTTGGAGAAGTATGGAAGGACTGTATTCTCCAAGTCAGGGTCCAGTCAAAACCTCCACAACTGGGCCTGGCGTGGTTGTTGGCCTTTAATCCCAGCAGAGGCAGGCAGATCTCTGAGACTTGAGGTCTACATAGTGAGTTCCAGGCCAGCTGGGGCTACAGGGAAATGCTGTCTCAACAAGAAAAGCTTTACAACTTTTTAAATTTATTACATTTAAAATTTTCTGTATGGGAGGTGGACAGGTGCAGAGTTCAAAGATCAACTTGTGGGAGTCTGTTCTCCCTAACCATGTGAGTCCCAGAAATCAAACTCAGATTGTTGACGTTGGTAGCAAGCACCTTTACCTGATAAGCCATCTCACTGGCCTTTATTTGTCTGAGACGGTCTTATTCTGTAGCCCAGGCTGGCCTGGAACACGTTAGGATGGCCTCAACCTTAACTGCAATCCTGCCTCTGCCTCCTGAATGCTGGGATTGCAGGTGTGAGATTACTGCCACCTTTATCCTCCAGATTCCTGGGGAGGATTCAAGCCCAGGAGGGCAAATTACTTACCACTTTCACACCTACCATGTGACAGCTCTGCTCTCAGAGCCCAAGTTCCTGCTAGTTTGAAGAGGCCAAAACTGCCCACTTCTCAGCATTCAATGAGGCTGAGAAGGGAAGTGTACTGGTTGACTCTGCCCAGGCTCTTGAAATCTCCCTGCAGGCCTTTGTCCAGGCTTGGTTTCTGACTGTTCCAGGTTACAGATAAGTTTAGTGTCTCAGCAAAGTTCTGGACTGAGCCTTCAGTGAACTCTGAAGTGGTTCCTGCCAGGCCAGAAAGAATCAGCCTGTGCGGTGTTTACCCCAAAATGACATCATGCTTTATTAAACCCTTCTCAGGGCTTACCCCCTGTTGCACGTACTTTTCCTGGGGAGAAGTGGTTCATCCTTAGGGGACCAACAACAGAACAAAATGATTTCACTCAAATCTTGTTTGGTCGACCACTGAGTTTTTTGGACTTATATTAGGAACATGGGTGACTCCAAAAAGCTGCATAGATGGTATCCTATCACCAAATGTCTCGCCCAAACCTGGATGACTACCCCATACCTGCATAGAAAGTATCCTCTGGCTAACCCCCCATCTTCTATACTCTGTACCTCATGAGATGGCATGCAGCTTATGAGGTTCTAATCTCCCTTCCAGCCCCGCTCATGAGCTGACATCAACAGTCCTGATCCTGAGGGTCTCGCCAATAATCAGGGCTGCTCTGGTTAAAATCAGGATGGCTTTATTCTGCCTAGAGGACAGCATTCCTCCCCACTCATGGACATTTTAGACTCCTGAAACTGGCTGAATCCATTTATGTGTCGGGGGGAGGGAAAAATGGGGGGTTAAAGAAAAAACTAGCCACCAATATTTTGATTTTTAAATTTTATGTGTATGAGTTTTTGTCTGTATATATGTAAGTGGACTACATGCAATGCAGTGCCTACAAAGGCCAGAAGTAATTTACTTTTATGTGTATTACCTGCATGTACCCAAGTCATGCAAAGCCATCAGGCCAGAAAAGGGTATCAGATCCCCTGGAACTGGAGTTATGGGGGTGTTAGCTACTATCTGGGTCCTGGGAACTGAACCCTGGTCCTCTGCAAGAGAAGCCAGTACCCTTAATCGCTGAGCTATCCCTGCAGTCCCTATTTTTATTTTTTAATTTTATGTGTATGCATGTATTGCCTGCATGTATGCAAGTGCACCCGTGTTGTGCAGTGCCCGCAGACAATCTGTAGGATCCCCTGGAACTGGAGTTACAGTTGTTAGCTGCCATGTGGGTGCTGGGATTCCAACCCAGCTCTTCAAAAGAACAGTCAGTGTTCTTAACCCGTGAGCCATCTCTCCAGGCCCCCATTTTGATTTTTTGAGACATGGTTTCATGTGGCTCAGGCTAGCCTTGAACACTTACTGAGGATCCACCTCCGGTGTGCTAGGATTACAGGCATGGATCACCATCCCAGCATAAGTCACAGAATCTTAAAGATCCAGTCAAAGCTGCTTTGTGTAGAGCCCCACTCAGCGATCTTGATCTCACGGGAGGGGCGGGGAGAGGAGGCGAGGCAGATCACCCAGGAAGTCAGCCTGTTAACATGCAATGACCCAAAGTAAAACGCAGCTACACGGTAGAGACACACCTAGAACTTCACTGCGCAAAGAAGGGAGCCTCTGCCGGTAGTCTAAGAAGCATCTTCCCTGGAGGGTGTGGCATTGGAAAACCTGATAACAGATAGACCCATTCCCTGTGGGATGAGTATTGCGCCAAGAGCCAGAGGAAGAAAAGCATTAAAAGACGGCGTAGGACAGGGCCTCCAAGACAGGAGGCACCAGCAACAGTGCCTGTTAGAAACCTGCGACACCAGGACCGAGAGGACGACACTGAAGGAAGCGAGGGGATGCCCATAGGGTCACCAAGGAAGCCAGGTGATAGCAAAGGAACGCACTTTGCCAATGGAAATCCTACCCCTGTGGGCCCCTCTTTTCGTCCTACATGGGGCTGTGATCTGGTGTACCTCTTCGGTCAACAGACAAATTAGGGCCTCCGGGCCAGGAAACAGGGCCTTTAAATTCCAGTGTTTTCTTCACCACCCGACTCAGATTATGATCCACCCCCTCTCTTAGTCTTTTCATCTGAAAAATAGGACTTCCAACTCCGGACTCCCATCTCGCCCTGTCTTTGGCACTAAGTAATGTTTAGAGATGGATTCTGGATGGGGAGGGTCTAATAGGACGCTGCACATCTAGGCCTCATGGGCCTCAGCTGGCTTTTAGGAACTACAACTCCCGGTATGCCCCGCGATCCGCAGTCCGAAGGGCGGAGACCAGGAACCGGATGTGGCCTGTGGCTCGGGCGGAAAGCTGGGGAAATGGTGAGCTTGCCGGTGCTATTGCTCCGGGGTTTGGGTGGCATCGGGGGTTCGGGCCCCAAGTCTGCTTAGGAACTGGGGCTGGGCTCTCGGGATCCAGATTTCTCTCCCTGCGGCCTGTGCACAGATGGGAACGCCGAGGCCGGGTACTCCCAGGTTGGGGATCCATCCGGGTCAGCCCCCAGAACAGCTGTTGAATGAATGAAGCTTAGAGCGTAAATGAAGCCCCTCCTTCAGTGCATTCTCCCCAGAGCCACTTCGCCAACTGAGCCCTCTTTTTTTGTCCAGGCCACAGGGACAGACCAGGCGGTGGGATTTGGCCTCGTCGCCGTTAGCCTGATCATCTTCACCTACTACACTGTCTGGGTGATTCTCTTGGTATGCGCCCCCCCACCCCGCCAGGCTCACCTTCATCCAGCCCCCCGAAGCTCCAAGCCTACTCCTAAAACCGCTTAAGCAAATTCTGTGTGTCAGGCACTTTGCTGGGGGCTTGGCCTGTCGTACATCACAAACCTCTAGAACAGCACTATGGGGAAAATGCTTGTGTGTGCAAGCTGAGGCCCAGGGAGAAGGGCCTGACCCAAGGTCTCATCCTTAACTATTCCACTATAAGGCCCTGTTCTGGGTTTCCTCTCTGGTTAGCCAGCTGGTTTCAAGGCATAGTATGCCCAAGCCAGAAGATTTTACAGACACCTTGTAAGGCTTTTTTTTTTTTTTTTAATGTGGAAAATTTTGTTGGTTATTCCTTTAAAAGGCTAGTGTATTTGAGCTGGGCGTGGTGGTGCACGCCTTTAGTCCCAGCACTCGGGAGGCAAAGGCAGGTGGATCTCTGTGAGTTCAAGGCCGGCCTGGTCTACATAGTGAGTTCCAAGACAGCTGGGGCTACAGAGAGACCCTGTCTCAAAAAATACCAAAAAAAAAAAAAAAAAAAAAAAAAAAGGCTAGTGTATTTGGAAGGAAAAATCTTTTTTGTTTAGAGACCAGGTCTTTCTATGTAACTCCATTTGTCCTGGAGCTCACTATGTAGACCAGACTGGCCTGGATCTCACAGTGCTGCCTGTTGACTGTGTGGGATTAAAGGTAAAATCTTGTAGCACTTGGTATCCTTTAGAGAAAAATGTTAGTAAAGATTTGAACTCCAGCCCTCTGAAGACTGAAGCAGGGGGTTCTCAAATTCAAGGCTAGCCTGGAAAATATAGTGAAACCCTTCTACACACACACACACACACACACACACACACCACCACCACCCCCACCCCCACCCCGAGAGGAAGCCCAGGTTGGGAATCCCTTCACTGATTCCTCCTGTACCCCTTGCTAGGCTCTGGATGCTGACAGGTAGGTCCTCAGTACCCAACAACTGCCTTCCCAGTGCTCTCGATGGGTTTGGTCCCTTAGACAAAGGAGGAGCTGTGTAAGGTGAGCAATGCTCACCAGAGCTCTTCCTTCCCTCCTTGCCAGCCATTCATCGACAGCCAACATGTCATCCACAAGTACTTCCTGCCTCGGGCCTATGCTGTCCTCATCCCACTGGCCTCGGGCCTTCTGCTGCTGTTGTTTGTGGGTAAGTCTCCCATCCTCCGAAGGTCTCCTGCTCCTGGTCAGGGTGTTTTGGAGGGCTGGCCACCTTCACCCCTGAGCATGCCTCCATACTTTGGTACATGCTGTACAGTTTCTTGAGGTTCTTTGTCTCCAGGCCTCCTGGAGTTTTCCTCTTCCTCCTTCACGGCCACAAGGCAGCAACCCCTGAGTCACTAATGGCACATCCAGCTCCCCTTCCTTGTCTGACCCTCATCATCGATCCATACCTCAGTCACCACCTGCCACCATGGCCTATAACTGTTCTCTCTCTCTCTCTCTCTCTCTCTCTCTCTCTCTCTCTCTCTCGGCTTCCATGGATTAGGGACTAGATGTCCATCATCTGTGGCATTCTCAGCTCTAGCTTAGGCTGTGACGCTGAGCTCAAGAGAGTGATTTGTGTGACTTAGCCACCAGATGACTGGGTGACAGGGTAAGGGTGTGAGTAGGTATACTAGATGGACAGGTGGGATCGCGTTTCCTGTGGGATCTGAAGCACTCCATGCAGCATCTTGCCTATGGTAGGCACTCATTCTTATTTGGTGAATGTTGACTGCATGTGAGTGGATGTGTGGCTTGACGAGAGGCTGGGGCGATGTGACTGTAGCCTGCAGGGTGGCTGGGAGGGAGCTCGACCTTGCAAATGGGTCCTTGTGCCTGGCCTTTCGTCCTTCACATCCATCTTACCAGTCCTTTCTGTCCCTGTGTGTTCCAGGATTGTTTATCACCTACATGATGCTGAAGAGCCAGAGGGTGGCCAAGAAGGCTCAGTGAAGGTCCAGCAGGGATGAGGCTGCTGGTGCCTTACCCATATCCCCTCCAGGGAGGAGACCACGGGCCACAGCCTGCAAGACAGTCCAGGCATGGTGACCCCCCACCAGCCTGGCTGCCCTGTGGCCCTCTTCAGGAGGTGGAGCTGCTCAGGACTCAGCTCTGACAGACCAGAGACCTCTCCTGTCTTGCTCACCCTTCTAGAACCTGAGGGGAGAACTGGAAAGCCTCCAGCTCACCCCCTTCAGGCTTAGGTTCCAAACATTGCTGGTCCTGCCCATCTCACAGTTAGACTCCCTACCTACTGTTTCCTCTGGGCGGTGCTCTCTTGTCTCAGTTTTCCTCCTGTCACATACTGATGGACTTAGCAGGTTCTGAGGCTACACATGGCCTCCCCACCTCTGTAAGTCCTGCCCCTCCAGGAAGGCAGCTCCTCTGAGTCTGACCCTGCCCAGTCTTCATGAGGGCTTCTGTACCTGGAAGGCTGTGGGGAAACACAGACCCCAGAACCACAGGGGCACATTTGGGCAGCCATGCCAGTCACAGGCCACCCTGTTTGGGAGAACTTAAAAATAAATGTTGATCATGCTGGCTTTTTTCTCTGTCATCCTTGCCATGGGGTGGTGAGCTAGAGGGGGACTCAGAGGTGACACTGATTGTGCAGTGCGGGTAACACCTTTGCACTGTCCCTGTGCTGGACGCGAAGCAGGAACTGAGATGCATATGGGCCACAGTGAAGAATTTACAGAAGCCCAGCCTGCCCCAGCCATGCCTTCTCTGTTCCTGGTGAGTCAAGATGGAGTAGTTTTTTGGGGTTTTTTTTTTTTTTTTTTTGGTCTGTTTGAGACAGGGTCTCCCTGTAGCCCCAGCTATTCTGGAACTCACTATGTAGACCAGGCTGGCTTCAAACTCACAAAGATCCGCCTGCCTCTGCCTCCCAAGTGCTGGGATTACAGGTCTGTGCCACCACACCTCTGAGTCCCACCTTTGTTTTTTGTTTTGTTTTTTTAAGTTCTCATATGCACCCATTTCCTAAGTGCTGGGATTACAGGGATGTGACACTACACCTTGTCTATGACATGCTGGGGACTAGACCCAGGGCTTCATGAATGCTAAGCAAGCACTCTCCCACCAAGCCACATTCCAGCTCTGGATTAGCATTTTAGGGGTCCTTGGACCTCTCTAAAGGCTCAAGCTTCCTGACTGATGTCCTGTGTCCCTCACCCTGGTTCTCTTTCCCCTTCTCTCATCTACACAAATGGTATCAATTCTCCCCTTTCCCAGCCCTCTCCAGCCCTCTGATACATGGCCACCATTTCCTGTGGTGAGGCTTCCTTACTGCCATGCTGGTCTCCTTTATTCTGATGGCCTTTCAAAAACATACCTAAGCATCCTTCTCACCCTTATCGTTAATGCTCCTCCCACTGTGGCCTGTAAGGTCCTGTATGCTGAATGACTTGGGGCACTCTGCACCCCATACATCAGTTCAATACATACCCTCAAGCACCAATTTGTGCTGGACACTGAGGCAGGAGATGAGGTGTGGATCCTGTCCTGATGGCACTCCCATTTTAGAGGGCTTGACATAATAAACCAAATAAAAAAGACACTCACACAATCTCTGGTCATGTCAAGGGTGATGAAAATAAAGGTCATGTGATCAAAAGTACAGGAAGAAGGCAAATGAACATCTGGGGACAGGACTTCTAGCTGAGGGCACAGGAAGGGGAAAGTGTAGGTGGAAGCTTTAGGCTGTGAAACACCAGGGCCAGGAGGCTGGCCACGGTCCCTAGGGTGTCTGGAGACAGGCAGACGGGGCAGACAGCCTGGGCCATGCGGAGTTTGAGTTTTGTTCCATTACCATGGGAAGTCAGTGACTGGAGGCTTAAAGCACAAGAGTGACATCATCTGGTCTACACTTTTAAAAGATCATCCTGGTAGCTTTGCCCCTCCTGCTAGCTCACAACGAAACCTCTGGAGTCTAGCACCGCTCAGGCCCCCCGTGGGTCCTCCAATTTACTGAATGGATGCTCTGACTTCCCGAGTGACCTGGAGGGAGTCACTTTTTCCCCTCTGGATCTTTGTTTCTTCCCTGAGAGACACTCAGTGGGAATTTCACGCCCGAATGGGCCCGCGAGACAGGATTTAGGGTACACGCCTCCACACTCCACACTCGAGTCCTCGTTCCAGGGGGAGTTGAGGGAGTCCTCCCTTCTCGGCGATCCCAGCCAACGCCCCGCGGCCCCGCCCGGCCTGGACCACTGTCCGAGGATGCTGCAGCCGCGGGGGTGGGACCAGCAGGCAAACGCCAGTGACCCCCGCGCGGATTGGGCGCAACCGTGACAGGAGCCTCGCGATTGGTCCGTCGCGGAACAGGGGCGGGGCCTGGATCCTGCAGCGGGGCAGCGGGGACGCGGCCAAAGCCCAGAAAGCTGCTGCGGGGGGCGATGGCCACACCAAGCCCTGGGCCCCGCGAGGTAGGTGCGGACCCGAAAGGGACCAGGAAGGGGAAGGGTGGTTGAGCAGTAGCTGGGTCCCCCCCTCTCCGCCAGAGGCTCAGACACGCCCCCATCTCAGCCAGGGAGGGGCCGTGCTCTGGATGAGGACCAGGACACGCCCCACATGGGGAGCAGGTATGAAGGAGTGGTGGTCCAGTGGGTATCCCCAGAGGTCTTCCTCAGTTTCCTCATCAGGAAAATGGAGATGATCACATAAACTCCTTCATAAGGCTGTTAGGCACTCAAGCGTTCATCCAGCCTTGGGCACCTGGTGGGTCCCCACTAGCAATGGGTCAACTGGTACGATTTCAACATCCATTTGACCCTCCATGCTGGCACAGAACTCGGCACTGAGGAGGAAATAGACCTCCCAGAATTCCCAGCACCCCAGCACCTGCTAGCAAGTCTTCCTGTGCAGGAGCTCAAACTGAACAGTAACAGTTAATACCCAATGGAGTTCCAGTGTTGCAGATGCGAACATAAGGCCCGGACTGACCTAAGGTCACACAGCCTCAGAGTCAGGCAGATTTAGCTGGGCTTGACTGCAGGTATGCTCCGTCTACACTGTATTGGGATGCTGTGTGCCAGGTGCTCTGTGCCCCCCCAACCCACAATGCCTGGGGAGATGGTTGTAGAGTTTGCCCTGAATTTTACAGCTGAGGAAACTGAGGCAGAGAGAAAGGGGAACGGTTCATAAGTAGTGGGAGTGGGATTTGAACCCGTGTCTTTTCCCTCTGAGAGGCCACCACACACTTTGTCTCTGTGCCTCTTCCCATCAGATCCTGACTGCCTCCCCAGACGTTGGACGAAGAGCACTTGCCTCACGTTCCAGCCCCCGTGGCTTCTTTTGGCGCCTCAGAGACAAACAGACTCGAGTCGGCCTGTTTGAGATCGGCCCAGGGCATGAACTGCATAGGCTGACATGTATGATGCAGGCAGGACTGTGGGCTGCCACCCAGGTCTCCATGGACAACCCACCCGTGGTGAATGCCTGTTTGGTCTCATGTACCCCTAACACCAAGAACAAGACCCAGCTGAAGGCTTGTCTTGCTAGTATGGTGACACTGGGAGAGGAGAGAGGCAGGGGCATTCTGGGGTGGAAAGTTCAGGATGTTAGGGTGCGAAGAACTCCTAGTCTCAAGTAGTGACTGTGTGCTTCAGGTGAGCTTCTTACCTCTAGACCTCAGTGACCCCATCTGTATAGTGGGTAGAGGGGATTATACCCCCTAGTTTCTGAGGCCACCCCTCTCCAGCCCTGTCAGCTTTTATGGTTGAGAAGGGACCACACTCCCACCCAGCCCAGCCCAGCCCATCCTCCATGGAGCTGGGGCCAGGCTGGCTCAGCAGAGAGTCACTTAGCTGCCAGCTCAGCAGTCTGGCAGGAGGGTGAGCCCCTATGTTGTTTGTATGTATGCACACGTGCACAGTCTGACCACAAGATCCCAAGAGCATTTTAGAGCACACTCTGACCTCATCACCTGCTGAAAATCTCCTATGGCTCCCCAGTATCCAGCACAGCCTAAAGCTGCTGCTGGCCAGGGCCAGCTGTGCCGCCTCACACACACACACACACACACACACACACACACACACACACACACACGAACCCTCTTACTCTGCTGCAGACCAGTGCTGTTTCCACTGCCTAGAGTACCCTGCTCTTCCTATCCACTCCTCATTTCACAGGCGGCCTTCCCCAGTCCTGGCTCTCCCAGACTACATCAGGCTGTGCAGCTTTGCTGGCCTGTCCTTTCACTAGGCTGATATCTGGCACCACTCAGACAGCACGAGTGTTTGAAAGCATGTAGCAGGCTTGAACTCAGAGCCTGGTGCTGGTGCTCAGGCTCTGCCTCAAGTTACACCGGTCCTCCCTCCAACCCTGGTAAGCCAGAGCCCCTGCCCACCAAAGGCTGAAGAAATCTAACTGAGGGAAGGGGACAAAGCCAGGGGGAGCAGGACACTTGAGATCCCTGGATAGGCAGTGGGGGGCCTTGACTTTCCCTGACACCCTCTACCTACCCCTACAGGGGCCACCCACCCATGAGGATTTCTCAGAAGTCATGACCCAGGTTCATGATGAGGTAGGAAACCCATCATTCCAATGTGGGAGGAGTACCAGGGCCAGCTGCACACATCTAGACCCACATGGACTCCCTTGGGGCTGCTCTTTCTTCTCCACAGGGCTTCGAGCTGGGCACCCTGGCTGGTCCAGCCTTTGCCCGCCTGCGCCACTCACTAGGCCTGACAGAAGAGGATTATCAGGCTACACTGGGCCCCGGTAGTCCCTACCTGCAGTTCCTCAGCACCTCCAAGAGCAACGCCAGTTTCTTCCTGTCGTGAGCTTGCACCAGGGTTGGAGCGGGGTGGGGGCTCCTTCGGGGGCTGGAGGGTGATGGGGGGGTGATGGCCCTTAGGAGAGAAACAGCGCCCATGGACAGGGAGCAGCGTGGAGGTCCCACGACGCTAGGGTGAGTGTCGGGGCCAAGATCCTTAGGCCTAAATAGGGTAAAGGGTCTGAACAGCTCCAACCGGATCTGGACATAGTGACCTGTGGTTCCCACCCCGCAGCCACGACCAGCGCTTCTTCCTAAAGACCCAGCGGCGCCATGAGGTGCAGGTGCTGCTCACCCATCTGCCCCGCTACGTGCAGCACCTGCAGCAGCACCCGCACTCGCTGCTTGCGCGGTTGCTGGGTACGCGCGCGACCAGGGGGTGGGGGGCGAGTCCTGGACCACAAAGAACTTGGGGAGGGCGGGATCTGTGGACTCGGCGGGGTCTGGGGCGGGGCCACGGGGGTAGACTTGGGATAGGAGAGCCTTGGGGTTTATCGGCCGGGCTGTGTCTAGGGGTGAGACAGCACTGGGGCTATGTCTGGGGATGGGAGTCGGGGAACAGATTCCAAGGAATCTGGGGACGCGGGCTGGAGTGGCAACCTCAGTATGCGATGGGTCTTGAGAAAGATGCTAGGCCTGCAGCTGAGACCTGGGCCGGATGGACCCAGGGTTGCAGAGTTAGAGGCCCTCACCTGGTGTCTTCTCTACTTCCAGGAGTGCACAGTCTGAGGGTGGCCCAAGGAAAAAAGGTGGGTGAGGCCGAGGCGAGGTGGCTGGGCAGAGGGAGCGGCTGGAGGGTGAGGTCCTGGCTTCCCTCACTGCCTACCCCTGCCCCTAGAAATACTTCATCATCATGCAGAGCGTCTTCTACCCAGCCAGTCGCATCTCCGAGAGGTGAGTCCGCAGGGAGCAGGTGCAAGGCCCCTACTCCAGCCGCAGGGCGGCACCTGAGGCACTCATACCTGCCAGAACAGAATCCCAGCAAGAACCGACGCTCTGATGCTCCCGAGATCTGCCTGAGACAGTGCTGCTCACTACTGCACCTCTTAAGCGCCGCAGGGGGCATTAGGCTGTGTTGAGTCATTTGCATGTATTTATCATTGGAGGGGCACGTACTGGGGATGGAACCCAGGGGCTTTGCACAAGCTAGGCCAGTGACATAGGCAAATTAGAGGAATGCTAAGCCTTGGTTTCTTCGTCTTTAGCATGGGGACACAGTCTGGTGTGTGTGTGTGTGTCACACATAATGATTTGGCCATATACAGTCATTTGGGAGAGCTCTTGCTTCCAATGATTTCTGTGAAGTTCCCTGTGTGTTCCCCACCTCCCAGATATGACATCAAGGGCTGTGAGGTGAACCGCTGGGTGGAGCCAGTCCCTGAGGACAGCCCCCTTGTCTTGGTGCTGAAGGACCTCAATTTTCAGGGCAAGATCATGAAACTGGGTGAGCCAAGGGGTGGGGGTGCCTCTTTTTCCTCCATTGGGTGTGAGGCTTGGAAAGGGGAGGAGGGTCCCCGGCACTGCCCTCTGCCCAAGTGCTTAGTAGCTCTGATTCTGGGTTCAATTGAGGGAGGAAGGCAAATTGTAAATGAGTTTCCTTATTTGTGAAATGGGATTGGTCTGACACCCTACCCTGCTGGGGCAAGAGCATGAGGTCAGTACAACCAGCTCAGGGGAACTCAGTGGGGTCTGGTGCTCCCTCAGGGCCCCAGCGGAGCTGGCTCCTCCACCAGATGGAGCTGGATACAGCCTTCCTGAGGGAGCTCAACATATTGGATTACAGCCTCCTGATGGCCTTCCAGCTTCTCCACGAGGACGAGAAGGACCAGTACAGCAGCCTTATCTTCCACATGGCCAGGTGAACTCCAGGTGCAATGGTGCAGTGTCTGCCATGGGGTTCACAAAGCCCCTCAAGTCTGCCCAACCAAGCCAGGTCAGCTCTTACCCCAGCTGGTACACAGGCCACTGGTATTCATCCAGGAAGTCCCAGTTTGCATAGAATGATTGTGATGTTGAAATATTTCCAAGTGGGGCCTGCATGATGGCACATGCCTTTAGTCCCAGCATTCAGGAGGCAGAGGCAGGTGGATCTCTATGAGTTCAAGGCCAGCCTGGTCTACATAGTGAGTTCCAGGCCAGCTAGGGCTACAGGGAGACCCTGTCTTAAAAAGACAAAAAAAAAAAAAAAAAAAAAAAATTTCCCCGGCAGCTAAAAAAAAAAAAAAAAAAAAAAAAAAAAAAAAAAATTTCCCAGTAGGCTCTCCACCTCCACTGCACACCACTCGGTGGTCCAGGTTAATCCTGTCTTGGCTCTCAGGCCACTGTTTTGATTAGTTGGTGCTTGTCTGGGGCTTGTCTCTCATTGACTTATTTTCCAAAAGCCTCTGGTATGATAGGAATAAAGCCCTGCAGCATATAATATCTCCCCCCACCCAAGACAAGGTAGGGAACTGAACCTGCTTCTGCTGGGACTGAGAAGGCTGCCCCTAAAGTGCATCTGATGTGGAATACAGTTCAGGCAAAACACACATCTGCAAACTGGGGTTACTGGACTCTATTCTGAGTTCTTCAGCTGGCAACCTCAGGCTCCTAGGATTGGGATACCTTCAAACACAAGTCTAGACAGTGATCAACTAAAGCACTTACCCAAAGTCACATGGCACCTAAGCACAGAGCAAGGGTCTTCATTGTTCTAATGCTCCAGACCAGGCCTTCCCGACAGAATTATGATTCAGCCTAGACTCACACTGTCCCATTCACAGGCACTGCCTGTGCCCAGCCCTTTAAATATAGAGTTTAGCGGACTATAGAGATGGTTCAGCGGCTAAGAGCATTGGCTGCTCTTGCAGAGGACCCGGGTTTGATTCCCAGGACCCACATGGCAACTAACAACTGTCTGTAACTTCAGTTCCCAGGGAATCCAAAGTCCTCTTCTGACCTCCCCTGGCATTGCATGACATGGGTGCACTTACATACATACAGCCAATACACTCATAAATTAAAGATAATAAAATATTTTTTAAAATATAGAATTTAAAAAATCTTCTAGTAGCCTTATTTAAAAAGTAAAAAAGAGGTCTATTAAAGTGCTTAAATAGCATGTACAGCCAGGCATGGTGGTGCACGCCTTTAATCCCAGCACTCGGGAGGCAGAGGCAGGATGATCTCTGTGAGTTCAAGGCCAGCCTGATCTACATAGTGAGTCCCAGGACAGCTGGGACTACAGGGATACCCTGTCTCAAAAAAAAAGACCAAAAAAAAAAAAATAGCATGCACAAAGCTCTGGGTTCTATTCCCAGCACCACAGAAATGTCATGGTGGCACATACCTGTAATCCCAGTTATCAGGAGACAGAGGTAGGAGGAGGAGGAGGATCAGCAGCTCAGGGTCAGCCTTGGCTACATATCAAGTTCAAGATCAGTCTAAGCTACCTGAGACCATTTAAAAAATTTTTTAAAAAATATTTATTATTTTTTATTTTATGTGTATATGTGTATTGCCTGCATGTATATAAGTGCACCCATGACATGCAATGCCCCCAGAGATCAGAAGAAGGCATTGGATCTCCTGCACCTGGAGTTATGGATGGTTGTTAACAACCATGTGATTTCTGGGAACTGAACACAGGTGCTCTTAACCGCTGAGCCGTCTCTCCAGCCCCCGTCATATCTTCTTGGTGGGCTCTCTCCTTTACAAACATCCAGTGCTGCTCTTTATCCCTTTCTGACACATTTCCTGTGGAGGCTCCTTTGTTAGCTACTTTTCTTCCTTTCAGACTTCTTTTGCTTGGGATACTGTTTCCATTCTTTGACTTTTGTCTGAAGTGTCAGTCCACTGAGGTGAGTTTCATGCAGACAGCAACCAGTTGCACGCTGTTTTTTAAACAGTCTATTCAGCAACCCTATGTATTTTGCTGCGCAGTTAAGACCATTTAAATTTGTGACTGTTATTGAAAAGTGGACACTAAGTTCCCTTTTCCCGTGTTACAGTTGCTCTGGCTCACTGCGTGAATACTGTGTGCTCTTGCCCATCTCTCAGGGGTGATTCACTCCGCTGACACTGCTCTTGGTTTTTGTCTTTTCCTTCCTCTTCTGTATCTAGCAGGTCACTC